TAAAGGTGCAAATTTCCAATGATGAATGTCATTATATTGTATACCTAAAATGTACCAATGATTAGAATGAATAATTGATAACGCAAAATATGAAGAAAAGGTCCAAAGGGGTAGGGGAAGTGGGAGGGGAAGGGGAAAGGAAAGAAGGGAAAGAAAAAATTATGAGAAATGGAGAAAATGGAAACAAAGCCTTTGTTAATAGGGAAGGGTGGAGGGGGTGTAGAGAGGGCTAGGAATGGGGAAAAAATAAGAACCAAGATGAATCATGTAAAGGTACAAGTTCCCAGTGAGAAATGTAAATGTATTGTATACCTAAAATGTACCAATAAAAGAATTAAAAAAAATATTGACCCAATAGTAGCAAGGGTATGTGGAGGACATCATTAACCTTGTTCAATAATCTGTGGTTTTAGTTTTAGTAGTCTTAGTCTTAGTGGTCTTAGTCTTAGTGGATGAGAGAGGATGGCCCACACCCAATTAGATACTTGTCTATCTGTATGGGAAAGCCCAAAAGGATGGTACTGATAATCTCATCCCTTAAGGAAGTAGGCAAATCTGGCCATTGTGACTTTAATCTTCTTCAGATGCACCTCCAGCCACAGCTTTGATGTGTTGTCATCCTCTGCATGGACTTGGAGGGCTCAACCCTTTCTGACTTCCTATAATATTTCTACCTAAATTAGCTGTCTATGTCACTATTATTCACTCTTTCCAGTTGTATGGCAACCATAGTCCCTTTATTCCTACCATTCATCAACTAGTGCAGAAAAATGTACCTGATACTAAGCTATTAAGTATAAACTATTCTTGTTATAGCGACAGATGGGGTCAATTTAGTCTCCATAATAATAATGTTAATTTTAGGAACAAAACAGTGAAATCTTTACAAATATAACAAAACATAGCTTTTAGTAGAACAAATGTGAGAAAATATGGATAGCAGACAATAAGTATTACGAGAAATAAGGACAACTTAAGTCTTTGTAATATGTGAAAATAAACCAGATTCGTTAATATAATAATTTTTTATTAATATAATAATTTTTAAGCATGCTTGTTGACTCTATTTTCCAAACCAAACTGAAGTTTCATATAGTCCATCGCTATGGAATATATAGATGTGAAAAAATTTTGCAAAAATTTAAAAACTTAATCATATATAATTATATATTTAATTGATACATTTTCACTGAAAATAAAATACATATAATTTGGGCTATCTGGAAAAATCCAAGATATGTGATCTTGCTAACAAATATCATCAATCTTCAAAGCATTCCATCATTTAAATTAAATTAAATTGAATCATTTAAAAATTGCACTATTATTTCATGTACTGTTACAAAAATTCAATGGCTATCAGTTTTCCAGTGTAACAGAACACCTCAAAAAACACTTAAAGGGACAAAAGGTTTACTTTGACTCATAGTTTCAGAGGTCTCAATCCATGGCTACTCAGCCCTATCACTTTGGGCCCATGACAATGCAGAACATCATAGTGACTGGCAAACAGAGACAGGACACAGCCCCAAGATCCCCAGTGGCCTAACTTCCACCCTCTACACCTCACCTCCTCCTGATTCTATCAGCTTGCAATACACCAAACCTTTAATGCAAGGGACTCTGTGGAAATCTGCAATGGAAACAATAGCAGTGGCCCAGAAAAATATGACCACAATGCTTTCTTATCACCATCAGCCAGGATCAGCTTCTATTTCTACATCTGAGAACCTTGACTTTTACCTTTGGATTTCAGCAATTTAAATATAAGGAATTTCTTGATTATCATACCAGGTACCTGGGTAGTAACTGACTCCAGTTAATAGTAACAAATGCCAATTTCATCAGACTTACTTCATCTTGTCTCAAAGACAAGGCACAAATTAGTTTGATTTCTTTGTAATTCTTTGCACAGTTACACCACCCCATTTCTTAATTTCTACCTACCTCATCAAAACAATATTAGAATATACCCTTTTTATCTTCAAAGTCTTCTGGATATCACAAGAAATTTGGAGGTCAAATATTATTCTCCTTGAGAAAAAACTACTTTCAGTATAAGGGACAATAATTAATAGGTGACATTTGTATAACAATATATCTAAAATATACCATTTTCAGGATTTCACTTATACTACCCAATTTAATTCTCATGAGATCTGAGGAGGAAAACATTATCACCCTCTTCATCACTGTACTAAATGGTGGGACTCAAACCCCCACAGGGTATTTAGCTGCTTGGTTAAGGCCAGTGGGTGGGAGGGCTGAAATCTGAACTCAGGCTGGCTCCAGAATTCATGTACTGTTATAATAAGTCACCACCTTAGAAGTTACAGTGGGCCCTTGACTTACAAACTCGATCAGTTCCCAAGGACTAGTTGTAACTCAAGTTGGTTGTAAGTCCATACAGCTGAGATCTGGATGTTTACCTGGGTACATGCTATAGACAACAATAGGCAGAAGACTCTTCCATTAACCTAAATAACCCAAGTTGTTCATATGTCAGGCCAGTGGTAACTTGGGGGTCCACTGTATTTCTTTCCAGCCATGTGTAGTGACACATGTCTATAATCCCAGCACTAGGGAGGCTGATGCAGGAGGATCACTGTGAGTTTGAGGCTAGTCAGGGCTATGTAAGGAATCCAAGCCAGCCTGGACTACAGAGCAAGACTCTGTCTCAAAACAACAACAACCAAAAAAA